TCTATTATTGGTGCAGACGATATTGCTGTTAATTTTTCGGGTAAGTCACAAAATTTATTCATTTGCTTCACGAGATCGCCACTGCTAATGACCAATCGTGATCGAAGGTTAACTACGGCTAGCAGCGCGCAGGTTAACACTCACATAACACTACTCAACGCACAACCACCAAGTCATCGCTGCGCTCCACCATGCGCCCTAACAACGCACTGATGATGTCACTTCGGCTGGTGATGAAACGTTTGAATTCAAATTACCCAGCTCAGCGAACAACCCAAGGACCATTCTTAATAATGATGAAACGCTTGGGAACTGAATTACCCCGGCAATATCTTGAAATCCGGTCATGAAGCCTTTCATGCTGAGAAAAATTCAACGTTACGAATATGGGTTCAACCTACAGGTGATGTCAATGCTTTCAAAGGGGCTGAAAATCCTTTAAAAGGCCTTTATTTCTGTTGAAAGCTACAACAGTGCGGTAGCAACATTTGGCACATACTCATAAACACTTCTTGGTTCATATTGGAGTGGTGGGCCAGCAGCGCAATGAAGCAAACTGGTAATGTCTCCCGGCCTTCAAATCTTGTGAATAACATTTGATCCCGTGTAAAATGGCGCGCTTAGTGGTTAACCAAATCAGAAAAGCCAATTGAGTGTTCGTGGTTGTCACTGAAACAAGTTCCTTGTGTTTTTTGGAATCAATTAGATGTTAATGGTAGGCATTTTTCCATGCTGTCCAAAAACATCACACAGCCTTTACAAACTTCTCTAGAATCACGATTACAGTGTGGCTTGCGTGTTGTCATCTAAGGACCGACGGAAAGCAACTTCCTGGAAGTATTGGGAAATCCGTTTGTCGGTTAGGAAAATAGATTCACGGTGACTGTCGTCAATGTCATGCGTGCAGTTATTGCTGATAGAGAGAATCACAGATGAATCACGTCATTCTCCTTTACGTGTAACCAGAGTTGTTCTGTAGATTAATTGCTCTCAGAAAGATTTCAGCTGGACTTGAGCTCTGCGAGGGCTATAGTAAAAAACGGAAGCAACCCAGGAGAATTGGTCAGATGACGTCAATCCTGGCCCACAGGCGTGGTCAGCAGTTTTATTTGGTCGCTCCCTACATACCGCTATTGTGCAAATCGGAATTAGTTGTGCATAGATTAAGATTCAATCTTGATCAAAAGCCAGCCAACATTGCAAAAGAAACCACCAAGAGGTTCCATGACATGTACGTTTTCAGTTAAACTTTCCGTGCTATAGTATCGGTGGTCAGTGGTGCAACTTCGGTCGCCCCAATGGGTGAGGTGACTAGAACGTACACTTGTGATCTCCACCGTAGGAAATCCGCTCCAGGGCCTGCTCGTCGGGATATTCATCACTGTCAATTTGAAAAATCATCGACAAAGATTCTTTTGGACCTAACACAGTGGTCTGTGAGATAGTGTCGGTTAGCAGAGATAGTATTTGGACTTAATATTCGAGCGCAAAATACTCAAATATCATTTGAGAATCGCACCAAAAAAATCTTTGATTCAAAGTCATTGAAATGCGGGCGTTTATTGAACCGGATTCCAAAAATTACATCGAAAGCTGTGAGGACACGTTTAGGTCGAAAACTAAGGGCGTAGAAGATGAGACTTCCCAAAGGTTATCATTGGTCACCAAATAATTCGGAATGCAGTCTAATCTAACACGGCATTCTAAAGGGCGATCAACGGAGAAGGTGTTAAAATGGTCAAGTTGGAACATTGCCGTTGGCTGGACAAGAGCGAACAAACAAGAAACCTTGTGAATAGTTTCCTTTGTAGAAGCAAGTGGACATATTTTGTCAATCTGCTCTCTTTGACGAAGAGTAAAGCCGTGTTTCTGGTGTTCTCTCTTCTTATCGCGCAGTCTGGTCGGGTAACAAGCACGTGTTATCACGGTACAAATACAAACTACGCTCACGTCTAAAAGTTTGATGTTCTTGTAGACATCAGTCTCTCATCTCACACCTCTCAACGCCCCACCTTCCTGATGTGTATCCTATAGGTCGTCGCCGTGAAAACGGCCGCAGGTTTGTTGGTCGGTAGTATATCAGAGGACCTGTTCCAGGATTCAAAGGAGCGCCCGTCAGCTTGGTACTGAATCGCTAGCAGCACAGCTCACCATATTGACTACTGGTTTATGGTTTTAGGAATTTGTTCTCATTGAACCATCGGACAGCCTCACGCTAAAACAGCTGAGACACACCTCGCTATATCTTCAGAATAAACCATCGCTATTATCTATTCTATATTTGCACGCCAGTTACTTTCCGGTATCGCCGGAAATAAATCCAAATCATGTCGTTTAGTGCATAACGATGCACATACACAAAGAGTTGGTGTGAAACATGGTGCTACTAGTCAGCTTAAGAACATGTCAACAGAGCAACCCGCTATTTCCAGCTTCATGATTTGAGTTAGTTAATGGAAGGTAAAGAGTAGAGCAAAAGTTATCGCCCACCATGTTACCGTCAACAATCCGAAAGAACACGGTCCAAGATGCAACCTCTTTGTATGGATCTCACAGTTAAATTGTTGATACGCAAGACAACCCTAGCCCACGCAGATGCTCGGTGCATCTGTCGAAGCGCCTTGTTAGGATAGGTATGCATCGTCCTCAGAAGATTTCCTTCGAAAAGTGTCTAAATCTTGGCTGCGCTACTGGATCCAAAAACCGCAACCATCCAAATCACTACTGGATATTTTTTGGAACTCTGGAATCTACTTTCAGATGATACAATATTTTTCCTCCTTCGTGAAAAAACCTAAGTCTTCAACTGACATACTATTTCTTAAGTGAAGTCATTCTAGGAAGAAGATCAGGAGATCACTGGGCAGCTGTCCTTTTCTGTTCGGAATGATTAGGTGAACGCGTTCAGCCAAGCTGTGGAATGAATAAAACTGCGATAAGCTGGTTAATGACTAATACTTATGCTACCGAATCACGAACGTTTGATCAGCGGTTTTATTATTTCTCACTAGAAACCTGAATTTTACACAAGCATCTCACATCCGAGTGGCTTATCATTTCAAAAACCGGTGCAACTCGAAGACTTTGTTCTTTTGAGCACGTAACCTATAAGTTGTAGGCAAGTTAGTGATTCTGAAATTCAAGCTGAACAGTCATTTTGCTGGCGTGGCCACTGCATATTTGATTTATTCGAGCCACTCGAGAGATGCGCACTGCGCGCGCATTAAACAGCGCATCCCACATAATCAGCATTCGTCAAGTTCACTTGCAAGATGAAAAATCTATTTGAACGATTAGATATACCGCACTACTTTCACACAAAGTAATGCTGACTGATTCCCGCTTGCTTTGATACTGCGAGACGAAATATCGACTTACTATCTACCCAGAAAGTTGATCATGTTTAAGGAAAAGATGTTTTCTTGGGTCGGTAAAATAACGAATTCAAACAGACTTATATTTGAAGTTTGGTTTAGTGTTTGATATTTGTATTTTTTCATAAGATATGAAGGGTTTTCACAGTACTCAAATTATACTATGAATAACTTTACTAATTTTTCCTATCACAACTTATCTACGAAGGGAACCTCAGGATTTCTTAGTTTTTGGGAGGCACAGCACTTAAAGTGGCATTTGTACGCCTTGACAAATTTTCAAAATTAGTGCTAGCGGACTTCATAATCAGCTCTCACTCACGACTACTGAGTGTGTAAATTTCTGAGTACATTGCTTCTGCTTTTTAAGCCTCTAGTTATTGTCTGTTACACACATTTGCAATCTGGTCGCACATACTGTTTTCACTAGTACAGTGCCACTTATCGTACTACTGTCATGCATCCGCGTTTCAAAACCTAATGCTCATTTTGCTCCGTAAGTTTGATCACTTTCTGCACTTAAATACGGTGCATCAACTCACAGGCACGTGATATTGTGTGATTTCTACTTTGCTCTTTGTGCTTGCAGCCATCAAGCTATCTAGCATCTTGCCGAATATCGGGAGCGGCCAATCCGTCTGGCAACAGCTATATGAAAAAACGACCAGTCGCAAAACAGTCGTTAAAAACATCTGCGACGTGGTAAGCAAATCCACAAGTGATGAAATAAGTTTAAGCTGCAAACATAACTCAGAATTTCTTGCTTTGCGTCTGTAATAGAATGTTTAAATAGACCTAATGTTGTTGAAAGATGTTGGCATAACGAGCTCATTGTATAAATGACTTCAAAGGATGTTTCTTCGAATCAGGAGTAGTGTCCGTTTTTCTTCATTTGAGCTCTGCGCGAATGATTGGGTGGAATTTTACTCAAACACTATCTTTTGTTTTTATGTACAGCTTAAAATATGCTAGGAAATCTTAGGTCGTGAATTAAAAACAATACCCCAAATATGGTTTTCAAGAAAATTACGATATGCTTTCCATCAAACATCAGATACAAAAAATGCTGCACGGAACACCATAGTCACCACCATTACATGGTATGAAATATCCTCAAACAGACTGAGTCATGAAGAGAACTCTGATGCTTAATTTGTCTGGACCAATGCCACAAGAACATTGTCTGGTGGTAAGACCATAAAACGCAACCAGTTTGGATGAAAGTCCCATCATGCCTTCAACCACGTACAGTTTTATTCTTCTATGCTTGCTTCTTTAGCCTCGATACGCTACTGTGAACGCTGAATACTTATTAAATGTAGGAAAATGCAGCACCCCAAAATAACCGTCAGGTATTTCTGGAATTCAGTCTAATCTTTTTTGTTGATAAATTTATTGACGTTTTTGAGGATAAGTTATTAGCATTCCAGGAGTGCAACTCCAGTGTCTTTGAAATGTAAACCTAACGTACCACAGTGGGCAATTATTTTCCAACTCCGTTTGGAGTGCTTTAGGCCGAAGATTTCTCGTGTAATGGCTAATCATTTCCAATAGAACCAAAGTTGGTCTAGGTTTTCACTCGGCCTCCATGATCCTTGTGAATTTTGGTCTCTGTCCTCTTCTCAGCTGTTACCAGACTTGTACCTGAGGAAATTCAACTGTGAAGCGTTCCTTGCAGCTTGTGGCCAAGAACCTCAAAACCAGCCGGCAAGTGCTGCAACAGTGGTCACGCTTTATTTCACGCGAAATGGACGTGCTCCGTTTCGATGTGTCGAAGAGATAGCAGTCGAACTAAGGAGAATTCTAAACGAGCTAGAAATCCGTGGCCTGGCAGTAGAAGGTAATTAATTCATTATTGCTTCGGTTAGATGCGTGCAGCCTAATGATCCATACGAAATAAATATCGGAAAGACTATACCTGGCTTTTGTTTAGTAAAGGCAGTTTAGAAACACCAGCCCATCTCATCCTGCAATGGAACTTGACGTATGTTGAACACACGATAAATTTACGCTTCCCTTATTCTTATCAGAGTGCGAAAACCTACATGGATATCCGAACAAAGTACTAGTAGGCTAAGAGCAATGCGACTCACAAGCATCGTTTCGAATATATATCCAATATTTTTCAATTACACACGAACGTTGGCCGACTCCTCGAATGCGGCAATCTCATTTTGGGCGACTTAATAAATTGGGCTTGCACGAGTGAGTGGCCAGCATTTGGAAGATTATGACAGCATTGTGCTTGGTACAGGGTGGATCGCACTGCAGTTATTACGATTGACACTTTTAATTACCTTGGACAAACAAAACTATTTCTTGTTTTTTGTGGAAAGTCATTATCTAACCATATTATTCAGATGCGGCCGTTGGCCCTTCATTTCCTGGTGGCATTATTGACGTAAACCAGTTGATTCGAATCGCTTCTGCATATAAATATAACGACCTGTCGAATAACGATTCAGACGAGAATAAAGCGGTCATCTTGTATTTGTTGGGCGCAAACGATCCGATGAGACCAAACTGATAAGTGGGAGCCAAAGCCCATTTATTTGCATCTTGATATTTGTCCATAAAATTAAGACACCAAGTATATACAACAAGTCATATAAACCAACTTATGGTAATTTTTTGCAAAAATTGTTGCAGTTTTGTCCAAACATAAATTAATACTTAAGACAACTTAAATAAGACGTAAAGGGCGTACATGTACGAATAATATCCGGCAATATGTCTTAGGAGAAATTGTGTTAATAAATCCTAAAATGCAACTAATCAAGGGACACGCGTACTTTTCCTGGAATTTAGCTGATGAAATCATTGGCCAAACATCCGTCAGTGCTTGAAGGAGCATCAGAGAGATGTGCATAAAACAATGCACTTCAACGTGAAAATAGTTTGAATAGTGGGGATAAATAGTGGAAATGTCCGTAGTCATTCATTCATGCAAGGAAATTTGCATGCGTCGTGTTGTTTGTAATAAGCTTTCACCATATGTGGACGCAAGCAGATAATAAAAGCTATTTTGGAAACGTGGTGTTAGGCGTTCCAGCCGTATATGCAATATCAATAAAAAATGATATGAATGGGAGGAATAATAATGAGGGTGCATCGAACAACACGATTTTCATTGTTATTGGGCGTATTGTCGAACATGAGATATGTGACGTTATCTGAACCAACAGCGCTATTAAATATAGCAGTTTTCGTACCATCCGTTGCCTTCATCACAGAATCTTCAAACAAACCGATGCACCCATCATCGGAAGCTTCGTAAGACCGACATTCAGCAGCATTATTAGGACCTTGCCGAAAGGGACTATTACCAATCTTGTGTGACTGATGTCCTAAAACGCTCCACAAATAAGATTTTACTTATTTATACATTGCAAAAACAAACTGACCGAGACGCCTAAGAGCGAACACTCTGTTAATCGGAGCTCTCGATTCATATTCACTGCATGTGAGTGGTTGGGGTGGTACTAGCACGTTAGCTGAGCGTACCAGATGTTCAGTTTTCTATAGAGGAAAGTGTGGTAGCTCAAGGTAGCGTAGATGGTGATCGTTGGCTTGTTCGCTGAGCTGGGCAATTTGATTGCAAACGTTTCATCACCAATCGAGGTGACATCATCAGTGCGTTATTGTGGAGCGTAGGAGTGCGTAGCGGTGGGTTGGTGGTTGTGCTCAGTTCAGTGTCCAGTGTTTAAATCCTAGCTGTAAATCAGGGACGGCGGTTCCGTTCACGCCAAGACGGTACCGATCCCACAACCGTCCACAGCTGTATATTCTACCCTTCGCGCTTTCCGGATGATAGGACCCCAACCACATGTGACTCCCTATCATTCTTGTCACACACAAAAACTGAACGCTGGTTGTCAGTTAACACGTTTTGTCGCACAAAATAGAACTGAACAAAACGGTGGGTTTTTTTTCAAGGAAGCAAAAGTCCTAAACTATCAAACGGGACGTAAATGATCCAGTTTGCGTGTGACGGGTTCACGAGAAAACCAGAGAAATTGCGTGCCGGAGCTCTTTGATATCTTCTGCATACTTTCGGTAGACTTTTAGTCTACGGCTTTGAAATTTTCGAGTTCTCTGCCAGGTTTAGTAACTCACTGAACAGAGCATTTAGTCTGCCTTCAGAAATGCTTAGTTTTGTAGAGAGGCGGATAGTGGAAAACATCAAAAATTTCCCACAAATAACTGAAGTTTATAGGTTCTTAGTTAGTTTATATTTTCACGACCAGGTCAAATAAACTGCATTCAAAATCGTTGCAATAATTCCAATAGCCAGAAATGTTAGACGAACGAAAATTCTTGACGACATAGCGTTTACCTCAATACTTACGTTCATAGTATACTTCTCGTGACCCTTGTTACACGGTGTGATTACTAATATGTCTCTGCTCATAGCTATTTGCACCTCATCGGTTCTCATTTCAGCCTACTTTCCGATGGTTGTTAGGTTCCGACCCCTTACCTCAGTCAAAGTGTGGGTGGCCGCTGGAATCAAACATCAACAAACCATTCACCGTTGTTTGCCTTGATGTTTGTGAAGCTTTGAAACAGAGAAAAGTCTTACTGGTGTGCATTACAGGGGGCCTCCTAGTGAAGAACTTATCAATACGTTGCCGTAGACGAACCTCTTTCAGAAGTAACCAAATAATGGAGGTTGGAGATTACGTTGCAAGTGTGGCACTATCGTCATATAACTTGTAGCCTTAAAAATGCGTTAGCGGAATAATAAAAGGTTTACTCCTCATATTTTTATCTCAGGCGCATGACTGACCGTCAATTTTGGCGCTCCGTGACTGTGCGAAACTTGGAAAACAAATATATTGTGGTTGTGTAAACAAAACACCGTATTCTAATGAAAACAGTCAACTTGCTTGACTCATTAGCTTAGTGGATTGTTTACAAAGCAAACGCGTCATGTCAAATCGCAAGATTGCATTTTCTTCGACGTACTGTCATAAAGATAAATGAGCAATTCAACGTTCTAAACGAGTCGGTTATCCATTGGGCTTGCTGAAGTGACTGGAACTAGTCACCGACAACAAAAAGAGAACATTGCTGAGCCAATCTTGACTGATTTCCACTAGGCCACATGAGGAGCCTGGTACGGTAACTTTGAACAACAGCCTTCTAGTTCACACGCCAACAATGCAACCTCAATTGTGGTAGAGCACGAAGCAGGTTATATTAAGATTTCAGTCAGCTAGCACCCCTCCAGTGCTTTGTAATGGACAACTGCTCGAGACGGAGGTGGACAAATTCACATGTATCCGACAACTCCTTATGGAACTAAACGAAGCACCAATAGTGCGACTTTTTCTATCCGTCTTGTTGTCCAGCGCTACACACTTGAGTGAATTTCGAGCAAATACGGCCGGTGGATTAAACTAGGTTTCAAACTTAAACGGAAAACTGTGCTTTACTAAAACGAAAGCTATGTAAACCATTTCTCAACAACCCTTAGTCCAGGAATGCTATTATCTATGTAAATCTTTATCGTTCATCAGTGCTACCGAACGCTATGCGAGCTCTAAGTGAGTTTCAGAGTAGTAACTGCAGTATCGTCTCAACAGTGTGAAAACTTCCATTTCCTTTTCTTGAAAGAATGATCGAATAGTTTTACAAGTGAAATTGAAATTTCATTTCAGTTTTGAACCCAATGCAAATAAATCGGTCAATTCTTTACTTCACAAACACCAATGGTCCCCTATAGTGGCTCCTCGTGGTGCAGTTTGTTACAGCATTTCGAAGCACTCAGTTTAGTAAAAATGTGCAATATCCATAACGACGCCCTTCTTTAGGAAGTTGACTTGGCACAGAACGGAGTGTATCCACTGACTCTACAAGATGCTGCTGTCTTTCCGAACTATTGGTGCAAAATCTTCGAGTCTTTCGGGACTTGAATCCAAATGGGCCACAGTTGGGATAGGAAGTTAAACTTTCGTTATCGTTTTTCGGCTTTACATAAACAGATGGATGTTTTATATACTCTGAAAGGTTTCAGCTAAGTAAGGACATCCAACGCTGAAAACTTCCTTAGGACTTTCAATTCTTCCAGGACGGTTGTCTGTTTCTGAATAAATTTCACTGGTGTTTTTTTGTTTCTGTCAAACGGAATTCTGCTGAAACGATTCGAATGAGTTTGGATATATGCAGCTTGAAATGCTTATGACAAGCATAAAATCAGAATGCACTATTCAGAACTTTTTTTCATTGCAAAATGTTTATGATATTCTCGGGGAATGTCTAAATAGCAAAGTTATTTTTACTTTCTTATATGTACGCACAGCAGTGTCTACTTTGCATTTGGAACATCAGTATGAATAGTAGCTCATCATGCCACTATTCATGCACGTAACCAAAAACTGCATCTTTATTTGCTGCGCTTCAAACTCAATAGTATATGCATATTTTTGTATATTTTGTAGGGAGAAATAAATAGTTCAGTACACTTTCATTTCACTTATTCAGGATTCGAAATAAAAAGCCGGTTTGGCAGCGTCCGAGAGGCCTCTGTGCATACACTCAACGGCCTTTTTGAATTACGAAAAGATGTGAGTTTGTATCCGAAATAAATTGCACATCATTCAGTTTAAAAATATTGTTTAAAACGCAGTCTCAAGTAACCTACAACTTATAAACGGACAAACATTTGTCTACGTATAGCCGAAACTGATATATCAAAATACCTGAGATACCACCGCATACTATATCCAGCGTACTGTACCTTATCAGTGTGATGGTGTGAAAGCGCAGCTTTGATAGGGAGGCTGTAAGGTCTCAGATAGGTATCCCATGTGAAGTCTTAACAACTCTGTTAGCTTTATTATCGCATAGAAGCACTCATAGCAGTTGTCAGAACGGCTTGGCTGTAGTCCAGCTGTTTGTGCTTCAGTGGATCACGGAAAAGGAACAGCTGCAAACTTCAGTCACGTTGTTCAGGCTAAATTGCACATCAAGTGCATGAGGAAGTGAAACACAAACACCAGTCGTCAAGAAGAACAAAAGACTCAACAGCGCAGTGAAGATACTTCCTCGAATATTGATGGAACGTCTGGAAACCAGTTGCCAAGCTCGGTAAAAAGATCAACAGCCACCTGATCATTTACGAAAATCACATTCAGTCAGTCTTATGCAGAGAGTGCGGGGAGTAGTCTTCATAATATTTTATGGTTGGTGGTCCTAAATTGGGCGAGGAAAATAATATAAGATTATGCGTTTTCAAAGAAGTAGTGTGGTTGTTAATTCGTCTTTCGGAGGAAGAGGGTATCGTGCGAATGACTACGTCACAATGGAAATAGATGTAGCATCAAGGACAAATAAGAAAAAACAGTAGCCAGTAGGCAAGGGTATCTGACGACAAGTTACTAAACGTTCCTTTGATACTTGAACAGTTGGTATCAAAGAAGTGCAAACATGTTTTCCTATCTAGATAAGACAGTTCAAATGTACCTCGTTTGCTCTGTTGCATTGATGTCCACGTTTTCGATGACTCCCAGCGCTACTTCTCGACTCTGAAATAACCGCAGTAGTTCAGACAGGACGTCTAAACTGAGGCACTCTGGATAAAAGTTTATCCATTTGCTTCTTCCACTTTGAAAGGCCAGTTACAAAGATCAACCACCGAGTATCAACTTTTGTTCTTCCAGTTATCAGACTGAACCGACGGCAGTGGTGGCAACAGGAGTGCAAGCTATATCCCCATGTGTTGCTGACATCCGAGTTGGACATGCAGATGGGCAGTGCTAAAATGACAGGATACCCGTGCGTCCTAAGAAGTTACGTCAGTTTGTATTAAGCCGAATATGATGTTGCGCCCATACCCTTCAGGCCGACGTAAACTCTAGTGAATAAGACCAGCAGGCAAACTTAGAGAATCATCTTGCAGGCAGTAAACCGACCTAAACTCAACGTGGTTATAATGAGAACGGCGCCAGTTACCCGTGTATCAACGGGGCAAAAATTCCACACGTCAGTTCCTTTAAGTTTCGGCGTAAAGCCAAAACTCATGTGCTGAAATCGCTTAAAGTTACTCATAATCACACCATCACGGTGGAGTTTAGGTTACTTGAATGGCTGTTTTTCATCATCACTATTCGTCACGTCTCAAAGTTCTTCAGCCCGGCTTGGGCTGTCACTCTCTACTCCGCTCCAGCACAGTGCTAGGTCCTTCCATGCATCAAAACAGAGCGTACATTTTACCGAAATTAACCAAAGGGTTTCTCATCATCGGAATTTCGGGCATCCCCGATCTGAAGCTCTGTTTCTCAGTTAACCATAAACTAGCTGTACCTAGATCTCAGTTTCCATCATCCGTTGTAAATGACCTAATCAGCACAACTCGCTTCGCTTCGGACTACATTTAACACCAACAGTGTTTTCTCCTGGAAAACTTTTGGTTTTCAAGATTCTGTCAACCTGGTAGCCTCAAATGACATGTGAATATATTAAAATGTCAAGAATACGGGTTCCAGGCCTCGTTGTAGCACAGTTTTGATGTCTAAACAGACGCTAGAGGCACTCTTCAAGCTCGCTACATGCCTTACTCAGGTTCGCAGTTCAAAATGCGAAAAGAAGGCAGAGTTACCTGCAAACTGCAATATACGGACATTAGACCTACACATCAATGTACTTTTTGTCTGAACAAATTAATAATCTATCAGTTGTGAACTGGTTGAGGTTGGTTGCTGTTGACTTGGTAACTCGGCCAAGAATGAAGGAACACAATCCACTCCGGTTAGCTTCTGGAACTAGGAGGACGATAACCAGCTCACTAGTACAACATCTAGCAGACACGGCACACAATGTGATACCCAGTCAAAGCTTCCGCGTTGTTTTCAGAATGCCGGTTAATCAACAGAAATCAGTACAGCAATGCACAATCGCAGTGGCTGGAGCTATCGCCATACTACTCCGCGACCCTAGCATTTGCCGGAAAAAACATTTTGTTCGTGTGCTGTACTTGCCATAATCCAAATAATCTCCCCTCTAACGTACACCTTGTGCTGCGCACACACACAGCACTATCCACACTGACAAGTTCAAGTCACCTTACTTGTGACCTGAACTAGTTGTTCTTCGTTAGGTAGCCAATGTCATCACAACAGGTTGGCTTTCAATCCTCCATCCTATATCGTTATCCTCAAGTTCCAGTTTCCAAGGTGTGGAAGGCATGGTTTTCTTCTCCGCGATATGCGCAGAGTTGGGGCTTTCTGGGTGCAAAATCTGAAGAAGTGACCGATTTCACGACTGAATAAAACTCTGACCCACAATGTAATGTGACCTGGCCTAGTTCAATCGCACATGGAGTACAGCACTAAATTCTGACTCCTAATGCAACTGCGCACAGCAGGTACCCTTGAAAACCACCGGGCTCTTTGTTGCAAAAATGATTTCGACCATACTGGATAGTTTGTCGGTAGTAACGACCAGCGGTAACTACTGGTGTTTGTAGTGTACGGCCTAAAGAACCGAATTCTTCAAGACCCTCCATCCTCGAGGGCAGCTAACATTCCCGCTTCTATAGAAATAAAGAAATTTCTTACTATTTTTCCAGTCGTTCTACAGACAACAGCACTATTCACCCCCAGACTACCCCCTAATACGACTCCCCATGTTTCACCGTTTCTTTGCTGTTCCCTCGATTGCTCCCAGTTGAACTTCTGGTGCGACTGAACCTTAAGAAACCGAGTTCCAGTCGAAGCATCCCGCAGAATCAACATCTAAATCTAGATAACCATAACAAGTTGATTGTTCTGGGTCGGAGTAAGTATGTCCACACACCGTAAACCAAATTGTTTGTCCAGCAACGAGAGGTGTTATAGCTGTGGCTGTTCAAAATTGCTTTGTTCGATCTGTATACTTTTTAAACTCTTTTAATAGTTTCATGCACGATGGCTGGATCCTTTGAAAGTGATGAAACCTGCCGCGGACAAATGTTTGTGGATAGACGATGGCCTTGGTCAAATCGTATTTTCAGTCTACTTCGACATAAGCAATTTAAAAGAAGAAACCTTCAGCACAAACGCAGACCAAGTGAGCGAACTGAAGGATCCGGTAAACCCCAACAGTGAAACAGACATATACATACAGCAACTTCTTTGTGAGTTCTTTGAACTTTTGTACATTTTGGACTTTAAACTTAAGACCTTCTGAGGAATGTGATTGAGTTAAAACAAGCATTTCATGAAGCCTCCAGGTATTTTATCCGAAAATTGAATAAACACTACTGGAAGGGGCACATTCCAGTCAATGCATTTTAAAACGAGATCCGTTTTGGGAAGTAATGCTCTTACGCGAAGTAAATAAGATGTCCATGATGTTGACTAGGTTTTTCGAGTGTTTCTAATGATTTCCCGCATCGGGTGACCAGAGTTACCTCCAAATATTGTTAGATTACTGGTTGTTCTGAGTCACACAACCCGCTTAAGCACGTGTTGGTGGATAAGACAATTCAGTCTCAGAAGTCTCAGAAGCTCTGGGTAAGTGTTTATTGCTAGTGATTAGCACCCACATAAAATAAGTGTTACTGGCATGAACGAAGCAGAATTCATGCATCGAGTATTGTTACGTTGGAATCGTTAGAGTCCGTAGACACTTGCTCAACCTGAGTTTTTCCATCACTCATTCCTGGAGGCAAAATGCTAATTGCCTATTGGGATGCAATTAATTCCAAGGCAAAGGCAGTTTTCCTCTTTCTGAGTTCTCTTTCTATGGTAAAAGCCGAAGTCAATGCCTGGGTAGTAATTCTAAGATCGGGTAAAAATACCAAGATAGCGGATCAGTCGTCGGACCGGTCGCTGCCTAGAAATTTACCTCCTTTCTAAATGAAGAAGGTCGTGCAGTTCAGGCTGGTTGTACAGAGCGACCGAAATTTTGGCATTTTTTCTCGCTGTAAACTAAAAGAATCGCTTTGTCTAATGTGATCCAGATCTAGGACTTGCACCTGATGCGATAGTCATCCCATCATTTATGCCAACTTGTTTACTTTCGCTATTGTTTCATTATTAAAAGATTCCATACCGGAAGAAATAAATGAAGTAACCGAAAGTGAGTCGATGGTAGTACAGCTGAGAAGTCGATATGATCCGTATAAAAGTAATAAACCATTCATAAGACTGCCGAAGACTGTTCGACAATCCACAACTATTTTTACCCTTCTTTGGGATTATCAGGTAGACGCAGTCCTCGTGCTTCCGTCAACCTTATGTTTCACGTGAACCTTAACTACATAAAGTATAACTTATACACTCACCCGCAAGCCAACCTGTCTTTGACGGAAGACTTACGTGGATCCCAGCGGAAGCTCTCGATTATGATATTCTTAAGCTGGGTTCAAGATGAATCTCCCGCCAAAACCAAGCTGGTATACAGATTTCCTCTTTATTTTATTACAAGAACCAAAATATTTGGGTCAATTAACAATGAAAACAGCATAATTAAAGGGTACATTTTACAACCCAACTTTCCCTGCGCCGTCAATGACAGTCTACTGGTCCCCATCTTAATATAACACACAGGGAATATTCTTGAAATAAAACGCTATTTTCCGATTTATTCCTACTAGAAAAGTTTTGTGACGTCCGCTTTGAAGAAGATACAACCCAAGGTAATGTTGCAAGCGACTTGTTCGAAGTATGTTCATTGTTGGACATTTTCGGAATAAGATTCTTCCTCATGGTCTTCCCGTATTACTCTTCATTTATGTGTGTGTGGGTTTGAATCACTTCACTCAAAACAGTCATCCGACTTGCAAGTGCTAAAATATACACCGCTAAATGGGGGGAGTATGCTGGAAATAGTTATGCTCCTAGTAAGCCAGAGCTTGTTCTCAAGTGACGCGGGTGCATCCATATATAAAATAGCTCCGCTGCTTTCTGGTTTGAGTGGCCTCAATTTATACGTTACATTTGGGATGACTTAGGACGTAATTAGGTGCTCGTAGAGAAATGGTTTTTCTTCGTAAATGTTTGTTATAGAGCTGTCCATGTCAAAGGGTCATTTGTGTGGTCATCGGCCTCCAGAAGAGCAGGAACAGAGAATAGCCAACAAAGTGACATCAACCCTCAGATTATCGGCCACATCAATGCAGTTGGTTCGAGCAAACCTTTTGACAAAAGGTGGCTTACCTCTTAAAAGTATGGCAACTTGAAATGTTTGTATAAAGTGCCTATAAAACACCTGCAGATCCTATTTTATTTGTTTCTACACTGGATGAACCATTATAATAAATTTTATCGGCTAAACTCGGTGTTTAACCTTTTGTCATGCGACCTGATAGCCTTCATCATTTGATATCAGCTTATACGTATTTTTGCCGTGCACATTTTATATAATAGTGTAACGGTGGATACTACTGGTGGGGTTTGCGAGTAGTAAGCTTCTCGTTCGCGTCTCTTGAAAGGGGAGAGGTGTGAAGTCGCATTTGCTTGGAATTGAGCAACAGCCAGTGAGGAATGCCCGTTCAAGCTGAAAATGGATACTCCGTTTTTTTTTGTAAACAAGATGCATATGAGTTTTGCTTCCTTGTCCAATAGTCCGTAACTGTTCATTTGACGTCTTCTGATTAATAACTCCGCAACGAAGGCCTCCCTTTCACTGGTAGATAACCCTGGGATGACAAACTAACTACCAGCTTGGGATGTGTTAAAACTTTCGAATGTGAAAATGTTAGAAATGAATGTATTTGACTGTCCGGGCATTTTCATACTTTACGTCTTCGTTCGGTCACTGCTTTCGAGATGGGCACTCAGTCGAGTTCACCGGATGCAAAATAGACACCTATGAATTCTAGTTAGACTAAGCGTCTTCAAACCCGCTATTGGACTAAAGAGATCCACCGATTTATTGAAGCACCAGAATTTGTATTTGAAAACTAACCCTATCGAGCAGGAAACTTCATACACACTGGCTTCAACTTGGTCCAAAAACGGTATTCAATAAGGTAATGGGTGTTAGTTCGCTGCAATTTCGCTGGTATTAAGGTAAAAGATCTCGAGAAAGACTATCGTCCTATCTTGGTGCTAAAACTAACCCTTTGGCTGATGGCGTTTCAGTGCTCGATTAATAGTTGTCCGTGGCTATGGTGCAAAATGGATGGTTTCCCATTTTGTCTGAACGGATAAAAACAAAATAATGGCATGTCGCATTCTTCTGCTACTTTGAATTTGAAATGTTATACCGTTGAAAAAATCTTTGAATAAAGTACTAGCGAAAACTGTACAATTCTATCACTCAAACTACACTCCTCGGGGAAAAATCTAAACGGAATTCAGTTACAAATAAAATGTAGTCATTTAGGTGTACTGTTGCTTGTACATTTGCTTGAATTGCGTATGTGAAGTGAGATTTTGTGCTCATCTACTTCTACATCAGCTACTACACCGACAAACACACCCACGGGTAAGTAATGACTGTTTTTTTATCACTCTTTTGCACCGATACAGTCAATTGAGCTCACCACATTTAGAGAGATACATTGTGCTTAGTTATTAACAAGTATATTTTCGTCCTCAGATAAGAAGGTTGAGTAAACGTGACAATTATGGGTGCCGAAATTTCGTTATTGAATAACAATGCTCGTAAAAGAGCCTTTTGCCTTCGAGTAATGAGAACCTTGCATGAGAATAAAACGATGTGAGGGAGGTGTGATTAGAAAACGTTCATGAAAGGTGCAAATGAAACCAACATGTATTTTAAAGAGATGGGAGTTTCTACAATTAGGGAGTGTTCCTTTCCACTTGGTTTGCCAGGTTTCAACGTTGTTTTTCCCTAATAAGTGAAGTAAGCATTCTGTTCCCATGCAATCCACGAGAGACTATGAAAAACAGAACAAAAAAAGCGCGGGCAAATCACAAGCACATCAAGACGTTCAGAAGATATAGTATTCTAAGGGACCCTCCTCGCTTTTGACGTAAACCCCTCTTGTTGGTCGGCTTGCTGTGAACTTTAAAAATTCTGGATCAACCGTTGCTATTAGTTTATCGTATTTTGGGAGTAAGATGTGCTCACCCGGATGTGATGCCAGAAATTGGAAAGTTTCTGGCTGTGCCGCACTGTTATGTCAATGCACCTGCTCTGAACTGACCACCATACCTCACTACCGGTTTGACGAACATTGTCACTCATATTGTCTGACTCACCTTTTGATTATCGCCTTAATGGCGTCTTTAAATATGCTTCAAAATACAGGGTTTGAATGAGACAATGCTGTATTTAGTGCGGACAAGACGATCGTCAAATTTTGAGCGGTGGTGGTTATATAGCCGGAACTTGCTGACGATAACCGAATGCCACATATATAATCCCACGTACTGTTTTAATGAAGAAAACGGATGCTTCTCAAAGTGTAACCAGAAAAATATATATGAATATTCCTTGGTCATATATGGTTATTCTTGGTTGATCAGGTGGAGTTTGACGAATTTTCCAGGCTCCAATTATCTTGCGAAGGTTTTTTCTTCTGCCGATATAATACCAATTGATCATTGGGAAAACCCCTCAACCACAAGGCCCTAAATTATACGATAAACCGGAGGAGGCTTGCACAGAAGGATCAGGCGAATTCAATTTCAACAAACAGCCACCCTATCCGAAGTATTCATTCAACCACGAATATTAAAAGAACAAGACTGGACAAAAAATGCTAAATACTTTAACACAGGTGTTTTCCAAAGAGAGGAAACTCCACTAGCAACAGAAAAAATAAATACAGCGAAAATATCCTAAGCCACTTAAGAACAAATTAGACTACAGCGATATATAGATCTACAGCGGATCAAGTAAATAGACTAAAGTGAAACAAATAACAGAAAGCACGTAAGGACCAGCCAAATGGAGATATGTCAGACCACCAGACAGAAGCAGCCAGAGACCGATCATTCAGGTCTGGACCAAGAGATTATCGGAAGAAAACTACTGAGCGCATAAATCAAATCCAATTTGTACTTACCACATAGCAATATAACCCCAAACGCATCAATGGGACTACAAACAAGGCTTGTTCCCGTCAACCAGTTACGGCGACAGATATCAGCTAACCTCAGACAACCACATAAACTCAAGTACGTTTGGAAGAATAGCCCACCCACCTGCGCACTGATGATTTCAACTCGGCTGGGAATTGAAATTTTGCAAACTAATTCCAAACTACAACA